AAGGTTTTAAGATATAAAAGTATTTTTAAAAACTAAATGTATATAAATTGTTAAAAAGTCAATTGATGAGAACCATGGACCTATTTGGATGAACATAAACACTTCAACCAGGAGTTAGATGACAGTGCTGGTCTCATGCACACGTCAGCATCCAGCTCATATTTACATTTTGTTTTGGGTACAACATATCAAGAAAATCCTGGTGCACACGGATAAGTAGTTGCAGATTGTGACTTAAAAAAGAAAACTCACCTTGCAATTCTTAAGATACATCTTAAATAATCTGAGCTAGAAGCCTGAAAGATGGGTAGTAGAAAAATTTTATTTAGAAATTGAATCACGAATAATTTTAGAGCAGATGAGTTGCTCATGTTCATTGTTGATTAAAAAAAAGACCCAGACTTTCAATAGACACGAAAACATTTATACATAGCCTATATGAGACTTTCCACATGATAAAGTGGTATAAAAATAACTTTGTTATTCTTGGCCAGGCACAGTAGCTTACGCCTGTAATCCCAGCACTTTGGGAAGCTGAGGTGGGCAGATCATGAGGTCACGAGTTTGAGACCAGCCTGTCTAAAATGGTGAAACCTCATCTCTACTAAAAATACAAAAAAATTAGCCAAGCATGGTGGTGTGTGCCTGTAATCCCAGCTATTCAGGAGGCTGAGGCAGGAGAATTGCTTGTACTCAGGAGGTGGAAGTTGCAGTGAGTCAAGATTGCACCACTGCACTCCAGCCTAGGTGACAGAGCAAGAATCCATTTCGAGAAAAAAAAATCTTGGTTATTCTCTAGCTGGAACAATAGACAGCTATTTATTTATAACAAAATAAAATCTTTTGTATTTTAAGCCCCTTGTTACCCCAGGAGGCTTGAAGTAAGTTTCAGGCAATTCAGGGTCTCCTCTCCTCTCTATGGGGTTGTGTCTGTTTCTCCTGGGTGATGTGTTGTGTCCAGACAGAGTGGGGCATCTGGTCTCCCACCGTCAACTATTCATGCCGGTTCCCCTGAGATATGATGTCCTTATCTGAACCGTGGTTTCTTGTTCACCCACATCACATCCTTCTAGTGCTGCCTGTACAGCCTCTCTAGACTCACCTA